CAGTGTTTAAGGGTAGAATTGTCAGTTTATACAACATTTCAGTTGTAAACAAGAGATTGAGACAATTGTGTAATTGAACAGTGTTTAAGGGTAGAATTGTCAGTTTATACAACATTTCAGTTGTAAACAAGAGATTGAGACAATTGTGTAATTGAACAGTGTTTAAGGGTAGAATTGTTAGTTTATACAACAGTGTTGGTGAATATCTCCTGATTATTGTGTGTTTCGTGTGCAGGTGGAAGCTGCGTGGGTCACTCGGACGGTTACACGTGTTTTTGTCGCACGGGGTTCGTCGGGGATAACTGTGAGATGGACATCAACGACTGTGCCGAGAATCCATGTTTAAACGGAGGCACTTGTGTGGATGACGTCAACTCCTTTCACTGCTCGTGCGTGCCAGGCTTCATCGGTTCCTTATGTCAGGTGAACGTGGACGATTGCCTGACCAAACCTTGTGCGAACGGTGGCACGTGTCACGACCTGGTCAACGACTTCCGGTGTGAATGTCATCCAGGATTCACATCCAAGGACTGTTCCGTGGAAGTGGACGAGTGCAGCTCGAATCCCTGTCAGAATGGCGGATCCTGCGTGGATCGTGTCAATGTGTTTGTGTGTGTGTGTCCGGCGGGGTTTAGTGGAAGGTTGTGTGATACAGATACGAGGAACAGCGGTGGAAAGGAGGAAATACGTTTCGTTAGCCAACAAGGTATGGACGTTCCATCAGACTCGGACGTACCTGGTGTCTCTCATCACGTGGCAGATGAAAACAAACTCTCGGGTCACCAGATGGCATTAATTGGAACGTTATCAGCAATAATACCTTTATTAGCCATCACCGCTGTGGTGATTATTCTGCTTCTTCGGCGAAAGAAGCGGCTGGAAAGAGAGAGGCGGGATGAAGAGGCAATCCGGAAGCAAAACGAACTTAATTCCGTGCAAAGTTTGAACAAAAAGTGTTTAGACAACCAAATAATTAACACGTTTGAACGACGAAGCTCAAAGTTTTTAAACATTAGCACTGAAAGCCAGGATATTGGGGTGCTGACCAAGGGTCAGTCTTTACCACGGACTAAACTTCTTAATACAGACTGTACTAGCAAAGTGCTGGACAGAGACTCAGAAAAACATTTAATTAATTCACAAAGGACATTAGAAAGAAAGCAACAGAGTGTACAGCAGGCCTCGTCAGTTAGTCAGAGGTAATTAATTATTCTCTTCATGTTACTAAGTTTGTGAGATCTTCAATACAACCTTCGTGTCAGTAGAGGATACTGTTTGTAACACATCTTTTTTAAGTCTGTTTTCTAAATGAATCTTGGCTTTGAACAATCCGAAAAGTAAGCATGTTAGCATAGAGTTAATATCTCAACGTTAGGGAAGGGTTCACAAGAACTTGATGGTAAACTATTGATTTGTAAATATTACAAAAATACTGTATATTAAAGTGAATATATTCACTTGGTTAGATACAACTTTCTTAGTTACTTATTGATAATCAACAATGCATGACTATTTGCATATAAGGTGTAGTCTGACAGGTAAAGTGTATAATTTAACAAGCAAGGGATAGTGTGACAGGTAAAAGTGTATATTTTAACTAGTAAAGAAGAGTGTGACAGGTAAAGTGTATATTTTAACTAGTAAAGGTTAATGTGACAGGTAAAGTGTATAATTTAACAAGCAAGGGATAGTGTGACAGGTAAAGTGTATAATTTAACAAGCAAGGGATAGTGTGACAGGTAAAGCGTATAATTTAACAAGCAAGGGATAGTGTGACAGATAAAGTGTATATTTTAACAAGCAAGGGATAGTGTGACAGGTAAAGTGTATACTTTAACAAGCAAGGGATAGTGTGACAGGTAAAGTGTATACTTTAACAAGCAAGGGATAGTGTGACAGGTAAAGTGTATAATTTAACAAGCAATGGATAGTGTGACAGGTAAAGTGTATAATTTAACAATCAAGGGATAGTGTGACAGATAAAGTGTATAATTTAACAATCAGGGGATAGTGTGACAGGTAAAGTGTATAATTTAACAATCAGGGGATAGTGTGACAGGTAAAGTGTATAATTTAACAAGCAAGGGATAGTGTGACAGATAAGGTGTATAATTTAACAATCAGGGGATAGTGTGACAGGTAAAGTGTATAATTTAACAAGCAAGGGATAGTGTGACAGGTAAAGTGTATAATTTAACAAGCAAGGGATAGTGTGACAGATAAGGTGTATAATTTAACAATCAGGGGATAGTGTGACAGGTAAAGTGTATAATTTAACAAGCAAGGGATAGTGTGGCAGGTAAAGTGTATACTTTAACAAGCAAGGGATAGTGTGACAGGTAAAGTGTATACTTTAACAAGCAAGGAATAGTGTGACAGGTAAAGTGTATAATTTAACAGGTATATGTGTATTTATACTGATGAAATCGTCTCCCAGTGTTTTTCCTACCAGTGTTAGAAGTATGTTATTTTTATTGTGGGTAGTTACACCCGGTGTTAGAAGTATGTTATTTTTAATGTGGGTAGTTGCACCCAGTGATAGAAGTATGTTATTTTTAATGTGGGTAGTTGCACCCAGTGTTAGAAGTATGTTATTTTTAATGTGAGTAGTTGCACCCAGTGTTAGAAGTATGTTATTTTTAATGCTGGTAGTTGCACCCAGTGTTAGAAGTATGCTATTTTTAATGTGGGTAGTTGCACCCAGTGCTAGAAGTATGTTATTTTTAATGTGGGTAGTTGCACCCAGTGTTAGAAGTATGTTATTTTTAATGCTGGTAGTTGCACACAGTGTTAAAAGTATATTATTTTTAATGTGGGTAGTTGCACCCAGTGTTAGAAGTATGCTATTTTAATGTGGGTAGTTGCACCCAGTGT